ATTTTGCTGCGTTGTGAGGGGGTTTTTGCTTGCTTCGAAGCTAGAGCGTAAAAAGCTGATCGTTACGCTCGTTAAAATTAACAGGAAGGGGGGAAATCTCTTTGTGTCGTCTTGTGCTTCTTTGCAGTGCATTTGGGGTTAGTGTTGGATTGGGTTTTCTACCCTGTAAGGCCCTCATGGTTGTAGAAGTGATGATTTAGCAAGGTTTTAAGGAGCGAAGATTGAGAGAGTAGAATTTTAAATTAAGACTAATAGAAACATGGGACTTGCAAAATAAACCCCTCATTTATGGTCTCCTGCTCCTTGAGCCAGACATATAAATGCTTTAAAGTAACTAGAAGCCTTGAAATTCTGTGAAGCATATGAGTTTATCATCTTGATCCCTTTTATTTAAGTCATTTGCTTATGACTTAAATAATGACAAGAGAGAGCAACCAAATTTAAGTACATAAGGACATATATATATGTATGAATATATGTATATAAATATATGTTATTTTAAAAGTTTAGCTTGAAGGCAGATTTGCCTTGCTTGCAGGCTTTTGTAACAGCTGCGATGGTGAAGCTTAGGAAGGCTTCTGTTCTTACTTGAAAAATAAAGGTAGTTTTCATCTTGATCGTCTTGTTCTTGCAGCTATGTTTCAGATATTTCAGGTGCTATTGTGTGATTTGAAAAACCCTCAACAGAAGTATCTGACCAAGTAAAGTGTTCTGATAATGCCCCAAACTTAAACTGGTTCTCTTTTAGTATTTAAAATACAAAAGTGTTTATAGCAACAGTGTTTGCAGTGTAGCTTTAATGTAAAAATACCTTTTAAAGGTCTGCTTCAAATAATAATGCCCGGTTTGTTTATTGAAAAACAGCGGTATACCTGTGGGATGTGCACAGTAGGTAATCCTGTCGGTCTTGAAGATTAATAGAAACTGACTGAACGAAAGTGCAGTTAACCGACTTTTACGTTCTTTTTAAATGGTAATGGTAACACTGCTGTGCTGAGAGATCTGTGTTTTCAAGGAGGTCCTCCTTTGTTGGCCTGTAAAGGTTAGAGAAGCAGCATGTTATTACCAAGGTATTTTAGATCAGTTTGGAAAAATGTTCTAATACAATTTGGCAGGCCATGTCCTGTAATTTTTCTAAAAAATATGTATTTGTGTGTATATATATATACACACGTCTTTTGAGACTCTTCCACCAAAAATCTATGATAGCTGTGGTATTGTAGAATCCTACTTAGTAGCATGTCTAAGCAGAGGTGGTTAATGCTTTCAAATTTGAAGTTCTCTCAGTCCCTAATTTTTGTAAGATTATCATTGTGTTGATTCTGGTGCTCTTTCTTTATGATGCTATTTTGGCACGTTTGAGTGCTTAGAACTCAACTATAGCAAAGTGGGGAGGGCAGGTTAGCCAAAGCCTTTTGGTAACAATGTTATGAATTGGTGAGGATTCAGGTATTTTTCAAATGAAGATGTTACATGTTTCGTGGAGTAAAAAAGAAAGTTAAGGTGGGTGAGGAAGTTGTTAAGAAAATCTGGCCTCTAAGCTACTCTGATTCTTATACCAGTTAAGGGTTTTCTAATTATGTTTCTATTAAATACTGCTCTTTCTGTTCACTTCTGTTGCTGCCTTGTACTTTATCTGTTGGAATTCGTAGTTGTTAGTGATGTTCAACTGACAGTTTTGGTGATTATGTTCCTGAAGTTTTGAGATCTCAAAACATGCTAGCCTACTTCATGGTTGTTCTTGAAAGAGAAGGCTTGGCACCTTTGACAGCAATAGTGTGTTTTTTCATTTCTAGGGGCTGTGTAGAGTGTTCTGTTATTTTCCCTTGAACTGGCTGTCCTCCTGTTTAAATTTCATTTCCTTTATGTTCCACAGCAAAGGAGCTTGTGGCTGTTGTAAGGGTACTTCATGCTCTTAGTAGATGGAAAGGGGGGAAGCTTCTCTACTAAAGTCACTACTTGGTGCAAACAGCCTAAATATCTAAAAATGAAATTCCTGAAGTTTGTAATTGAGACACTGGCTGCCGGTCATTGGAAGGAAAATGAATCCTTTAGAACTGGAAGGCATTTACTCATCTATCAAGTTCTAACATGTATGTATTTGGCTAAGGTTTAGCTGCTTTGAATATATAGAGGTTTTGCTAAACAGCAAGTAAATGCCTACGGAGCAATATTTTTTTCTTCTAAAATGCCAGATCACTGTTCTAGCGATGCATTGGCAGAATACTGGGAAATCTGAGGCAGAAGTAGTGACAAGTTTTAGGAAAAACTACTACATACCTTCGCAGCTGTTCAGAAACAATCATTCTTCCTGCAGTTAAGGAGCATTTTGTTGCTTTGTGTTATGAAACTATGGTTGAGCATGAACTTCTTTGTACAATTATTTGTGCTTTCACAATTAAACTGGTTCTTCTTGCAGAAAGCTCAGGCTGTGGCTAGTCAGCACAGTAAGAAGTCTATGTCTAATACTAAAATGAGTGGATTTTCAAAGTCATAGTCGTATTTTAATGCTGAAATGCTTCTATTTATTGCGAGGGGGAGAAAGATGTGTTATGGGATTTTGTCTTAGTGGGATCCTTAGGTTTGGTGGGTTTCTAAGTGTAAGTGTTGAAATCCAAAACTACAGAGGAACCTTTTTTTAGTGGCTTTACAAATATTTTTAAGGATCTGGTAGTTTCTGTGTATGTCGCTGGAGTTTTTTTTTCCCTCTAAATTTCCCCATAACTAAGAGGTACATAATCTTTGTATCCAGAAAACTATGAATGTTGTGTGTGAAGATACAACTTTCTTTAACAGTATCTCTCTTCAGAAACTAGAACAACTCAATCAGTATCCAGATTTCAACAACTACCTGATTTTTGTTCTGACGAAGTTGAAGTCTGAAGGTAAGATCTTGAGATATTTACTGCTTTATTCTATGTGATATTTTTAGGATTTTATTTTAAAAAGAATATTTAGCTTGAAAGAAATAGGAAACTGATGTCTATAGTCAGTTTACTGCTTGGTTGAGCTCCACAGTCCTGTAGAACTCATTTATCCTCTTAGGACTGTTTGTGGAAAGAAATCTGATAATTTATTGGTACCTGTAGTTTCAGCCTTGTAATAGATTCCATTATAGATGTTCTATGCAATCTTCCCAGCAATGCTGGAGCGTCTTACCTTCATCAGACTTCAACTGGCTGCTGTCTTACTCTTACGGATGTTAGTACGAGCTGTGTGTGACATACTGTGTAGGCTCTACCAGTTGGTAAATTCAGACAATTCCGTAGTAATGGGCAGGGTATGTGAAAGATTGTATTTTCAGCATACTTCATCTACCAATTTGTGAGGTCTTTGACAGTGAAAAGACTTTTTTTTTTTTTTCTTTTTTCTCCTTGATGTCCTGCTGCTAGTACTGCTTCTGCCTTCTAGTGTTTCACTGCTGGGTTTCTGGATGCTTGCTTTTTTCCCTTTAAATTAGACTTTACTTACCTGTAGCCCTATAATATTGAAAGAATTGGCAAGAACATTTATCTGGAGTTTTAACTGGTGTTTTGTTGTGTTGTCACCTTACTTTGGGAGGAAGAAAACAAAGAAGGAAGAAAGTATATTTTCATATTTGAAGGCTGGAGTATATCCCAGTGTTTTTGTGTGTTCTATGTAGGAAGTTTACTGATCTAGAGAAGTGATTGTCTCACTGTACTCAGCACTGGTGAGATGATATCTTGCATACTGTGTCCAGTTTTGGGCACCACAGTACAAGAAGGATGTTGAGCTTCTAGAGAGGGTGCAAAGAAGGGCAACAAAGTGGTGGAGGGTCTTGAGAATAATCCTTATGAGGAGTGGCTGAGGGAACTGGGGTTGTTTAGCCTGAAGAAAAGGAGGCTGAGTGGAGACCTTATCACTCTTTACAACCACCTGAAAGGAGGTTGAAAGGGAGCAGGTGTGGGATTTTTCTTAACATGCTGCAACTGGCAGGACAAGAGGAAATGGTATTAAGTTACACCAGGGGAGATTTAGGTTAGACATCCGGAGAAACTTCAGCACTGTAAGGGTGATCAAACACTGGAACAGGCTCCCCAGGGAAGTGGTTGAATCACCATCCTGGATGTATTTAGAAGCCATCTAGATAGGGTGCTGAGGGATATGGTGTAGAAGTGGCCTAGTAGAGTGAGATAATGGTTGAACTTGATGATGATCTTAAAGGTCCTTTTCAACCACAGTAGTTCTGTAATCACCTGTAAGGCTTTGGGGAGTACCTCAAGTTTGAGAGAGCAAGCTTTCAAGGCCTGAATCAGCCAGGATATTAAAGTTTTGAGGAAAGTACCCAGGTAGAACACCATGTGCCTTTTATCAGTAACTGAAAAATGAGAAGCAGAGTAAGTCCAGTAGTGGAGTCTGCACAAAGGAAGCATTGAGAAAGGTGTTCCACTTTTTTTTTTTTTCCCCCAAATTTGTTTTCTAGCATTGCCTTACTTGCAAGTTTCCCTTTCTTCATTCTGTTCACCACTTGAGCTTGAGTTTCTACACACTGATGTGTGTTTAGTGATGTGTCAAAATCTCCTGCTACCTTGCGTTGGTGGGACTACTTTAGATTTACTTTGAATCCAACCAGCAGCCCTCCATCATACATCATTAGTCCTGCCCAAGCAAGATAAAGGGACCATTGGAACTGTTATTCAGTAGCTGCAACAATCCTACATCCTCTTTTGGAATATGTTCTGAGGACAGTTACGAGTTCATCACAACTGGGAAAGTATTCTTCCTTTGCCCTCCTGAAGAGGTTTCTGTTAGTGGTTTGTCCTAAAGTTGCACCAAGTTTCTTGGCTAGGGGAAAGAACTAGTGTGCTTCACACCACAGACCAAAGCACAGTTATTCATGCTGTTGGAATTCCATGGTTTTGCTATGGCCATACAGTGCCTGCAGCAGGAGCCATGATAATAAGCTTCCAACATCACTGACAACTTCCTGAATAAAAATTCAGGTGTTTTGATAGTGCATGAGAAAAAGATCTTGGTTTGATAGCAGATGGGAGTAACCTTTGATTAATTTTTTTGCCACTGTTGAAACCGCTGCTGAGAAGACTCTGCTTAAGGGTACACTTAGGTGGCAGCTCCTGAATGTGGGTATTTTGTAACGGTTAATTGAAATGTGTGTTAAATAGTCTTGTTTTACCGGGGGGCAGGTTGTACCAACTTATCTTTGGCCTGAGTCTTAGGCCTCTGGAGGCAAGTAACTTGGTATGCAAACTTCCATTTGCAGTCAAGTAATTTACACTCTTTTAGCACCAGAGGTATTACTTTTCAGTTGCAAGAAGTGTAAGGTCTCATTCTCTCCAGTGTTAGCTTCATCAGGCTTCTGTGCCTGAACGCTTGTGACTTGCTGGGTTTAGGTCTATTGTGGTACTCCTTTTATTGGTTTGGTTTTTAAGTTCTGTGAGCCTTGTTAAGCTGTTGAAGTTTGTTCAGCTTTGGTCTCCCTGAAACAGATGTTGCCCCACTACGATTTCATGAGTGAAAATATATGGCCTGACATGCAGTTATGGCATATAAATGCCCTAGCTTTAAGCATTTAAATTTTTGTTTTGTTTTATTTTGTTTTTCCTTCATTTGTTTTTGGGGTGTTTTTTTGGTGTTTCCCCCCCCCCTCTTCTGACCATTACACCTGCCTTATTGTTGGTTCTGTGGTGTTGTGTTGGTTTGCTGACCCCAAACTGCTACACTTAGTCTTTCAAAGTATCCTACTTTGGCATGGAACATTACAGAGAGAAAGGTCCTGTCCCCACCCACCCCCTGCAAGTTTTTGTTTCAGCAGAAGTCTGCATGGATGCGAATTTATTTTCTGGTAATTATGACACTAATAATTCATCTAGCTCTGCAAGCAGAATGTGAAATGGCTTTTTTTAAACTAGTACTGGGATCCTAAGTGGTGTTGTGGGTTTGATGTGAATGTTTTCTGATGAGTGTTGGGATGGATTTAAACTTGATCTGGATGTCACTTTTTGTGAGTCCATTCCATTATTAACTTTCTTGGCATGTTGGTGTTGAAAGATCTTTAAAGCTGAGCAAGAAAAAGACCATTGTGTGAGATCAGGTGCTAATTTGTCAGCTACCAGTTTTAGGAAAGTATCGTTGGTCAGGATAAACTTAAAGAAAAAAAGTGGTTCAGCGGCTTTAACTTTTTAATTAGAAGAAATGTCTCCTTACCACTTTCTCACACCAATACTATTGTCCAGGAGTGAATCCAATTGCATTACAATTCAGAAGTCAAGTCAGATTAATGTACCCGTACAGCTTAAAATGCTACATAACATTTGTAGTGTCCTACTTAAATAACAGCAAAATATTTTTTTCTTAAGCTCAGATACATGAAGAGTTACAAAAAGAAATTAAGCCCAACTGAGTTTTAATAATCAATGTATGAAGTAGTTGGGGATGTACAGGGCATGGACCTGTAACCGGCTTTGACAGAACTTCTCAGGTGTCCAGGGTTGGACGAGTCCACAGTTGCTATCTTAGAATTCACCTGTCTCCAGAGGAGACCAACACAGTCCTGGTGTTTCCAGGCTTCTGCAAGGAGGCTACCCAAGGACTTTGGTGTATGTTGGAGGCAGACCCATGTTTTGTACAGTGCTGGAAAGTCCTCCCAGGCAGCTTTGGAGTGTTTTGGCCTATTGACTCCTTCATGTACTTAATCACATTGGTTTAGATTCTTCTAAAGTGCTGTTCACTGTTAGCATTTTGGGGTTGAGTCTTGTAATATATTTTTATCTCAAGTAGGTTATGGAAAGGGCAGAAGTTTTCAGTCTTTACCTTTATTCTTAAGTGCATCTTATTAGCTGAATGTAGTCTACTGCAAGTGGTATTTCTTCATATGTTTCTTTTAAGTCAGACTCTCCTAGTCAGTGATGTTTGGTTGTTTCTCCCATCAAATCTAAGTGTGCTTAAAATGCCAGTATCAGGCGTCCCTATGTGGTGTTTTTCTGCAGAAAGGGAAAGTGTTGCTGGTGTGGTTTCTAAAGGCACTTCTATCCACCAAGCAGTACATGACTTGGGGCAGTTCTGAGGTGCTTCTTACCTGAAAAAAACCTGCCTTCTACTCATCAGGTTATGTGCTGGTGTCATGATTTAGGCTGTGGTGGCTCTTAGGAAGCAACATCACCACCTCTTTCTAGATTTTGAAGTGCTTGGGCAGGTGCAATTGGTTAGGTGACTCCTTTCATGAAACCAAATCTAGCCTTATAAAGGAATGCCCATTAATACTTCTCACGTGCAAGTAAAAATGATGTTAATGCCAAAAAGGTGTAAAAGGAATGGAACCCATAAAAGACCAAATATTTTTCAATACCACCATGAATTATATCCACGGTATTTTTGACCAGCTCCTGTCTTCAGTGAGAGCAATATAAAGAGCCATATAAAACCACATCTTGATCCTTCAGTTTGATGCTAATATCAGTAATGGGCTAAGCCTTACTACTGCTTTTGCAAAGCATTTTAAACTCCATTATTCTTCTTCTATAATGACATGATTCTCATTCTTTAGAAACGCATGAAGGTTTTACTCGGTTATGCCTTCTGCTTTCTAAAGGTGTTCAGGAGCAGCAGTGCCATGACCGAGCCATGAGCAACCAGTGATGATTGCAGTCTGTATTCAGCTCAATACAGGCAGCTCATAACAGCTTAGCCCTGCAGCACTGGACTGGGCAACACCATCCCATCCTAGTGAGGTGGTCTGCTTTATCTGAGGGGTCACTCACTGGCTGCTCAAGCAAGTACTGATTCAACACTACCTTTTTTTTTGTATCTGTGGGGAAAAAAACATTTACATAACTTCAAGTGATGGATGTTCTCTGAATCAGTAGATATATTACTGATTGGAGGTAATTCTGACTGGCATGCTTTAAGTTTCAGGAGTTTTAAGCATTTCAAAGTGGCAGACACTCACAGTTGCCCCTCGTTTGCCTCCCTTGCCAAAGGGAGGCTGATGAAGTAAGTAGTAGGTAGAAACTGAAAACTGAAAAGACTGAGGATCGATTTCAACTTGCTCAGATGAGATAAACCAACATGGTCACAGGTCAAAGCTTCTTAGATATAATCTCATTTTCACTGGTACTCTATGTAGCAGAGGATCTGTTACTTTGTTCCTGGTAAGAACACTTGTGTAGCCAAATCCTAGGAAAAAAAAAAAATCAGTTTCTATAATAATAGAAAGAGATAAAATTGTATAAAGACATATTGAATTAAAAGTGGATCCAGTGGTCTCTATTTTATTGTTGTTCCTAGATGCGCAGCTGCTTAGGAACAAGACCTCCACTAGTGCCAGAACTCTATTCTGCTGTTCACCAGAGTGCCACCTGATATGGCTAATTGCAGATCTGATTATAGTGTTCAGAAAAATCAGCTGGGGGGGGGGGGAGTAGGAAATAGACAAGAGTACAGGTTTATGAAATAAAAGTGAGAAGATTTTGTCTCAAATTAATTTGGTGTTACAGGGGAAGAAGTCTTACTGGCAAAGAAGGGTACCAGTTAGAGAAACAAAATAGTCTGGCTATACATGCATGCCACCATACAACTTTCTACTAAGCTACATCTGCAGCACATAGAAAAAAGGAGAATGTGTTGCACAGCATGCCATACAACACCAGTGTTCATGAGTGTCCTGTATTTTGTGTTTCCCAGTTCTCACTTAGCAGTTTGAGCAGTACTCTGAATTACTCACTTGGACAACAGCCTCATTTTACTCATCCAATTAATCCTTGTGGTCTAACAGCTATTCATATGACAGATTGTCACATGTTTCAATATATAACATTCACCTTTGATATATTCAGAGAGTGACAAAACTATTCATCTGACCAAGTAATTTCTCCAGATAGGTTAATGACACTAAATCCTAATTTGTTTGTTGCCAAATGCTGTCTAAGCAACTTCCGTTGGGAAGCTCTATTTCCTTTCCCTGTGTATTATGACTTAGTGTGAAGGTACTTGTCATCTACCCCTCGGCCCCAACAAATAAACACCAAAGAGAGATTACGCTACTTTTTAGATGTTCTCAAACTGCAACAATATCATGCTTTTGTTACACACTTTGAGATCTTGTAGTGAGTACTTCCTTATTAAGGATTCTTCTGCTCTTGATAGAATTCTAGCACCTATTTAATTGCAGGATCAAGAGGTGATAACATAAAATGGCATTAGAATGAAGTAGTGCTGAGACAACCAGTTTGCAGGGATGTAATAGGGAAGCTGAAAGTAGGAGTGGAGAGACCAGAGTCTTATTTCTTTAAACTGCTCGTGTACTTGTAAGCCTGTAGAGATGTACAATTTTTGGCATTCTGATTGACTTGTGGTCATTTTAGTTAGAATCCAGAAGCTCCCATAACCAACCACAAGCTAATTGTTGGTCAGCAGTTCAACACCTTTTCTGTAGTGTCCACAGCTCAGTTTTATTTACAACACCATCTTCAGAAGTGTACCTGTTGCTACTTAGTCAATAAATAAGCAACACTTAGCATCTGTGTAATGTTCGAGCTTTGTTTTAGTGTCTTGCACATGTTCCTAAGCTTAGACAATTGTGTTAAATTATTTTCCATGACTCAACATGAGTCAATTGAGCACTGATTAATTTCAGACTAGACACTATGTTTCAAGGTCATTTTATTGGGTTACGCTGAATGTTTTGAAATGTTGTCAGCCCTACTTCTGACAGGGTCATAAACCATGGCAGTTTAAACCAAAAGTCTTATAGTTAAGATTACTTAGAAGTCCAGTATCAGAAAAGTAGGGTCTTTTTCTGCTAGGAAGGTTTCTGCAGTGTGTTCTTATACATTAGGACAGAAGCAATTTTTCATCTTCTACTTCCCATACAGCACTGCTCTTGTGGGAGTCTTAATTTTTTTTGCTTTTAGTGCTTTTAAGAAGCAATCAGTCTCTCATTAATAGATCATAAATATGCAATAGTGGTGATAGTCATGAGTTTTATAGAATTTTTTATTTGTACGTGTTAAATCATATCACTAGTTAAAACACACAGAAGGACAGCTTATTTCTGTCAAAGGCTTAGCAGCTTTAAAACTGAACTTGACAGACAGAGCAGTTTTGCTTTAGGAACTTTGATCCTGACACTTAAAGTTGCCAGTATCACAAAACTAACAGATTAAAATATAGCTGTGCTCATAATCTTTTCATCACAGTCTGTGAATAGATAAATGCTACTTCTATCCCCGTTGCTCAGTTATTTTAGGAACTAGGAGTCAGTCTAGGACGAGGATAAGAAGACACAGTGAAACAAATGCTCACCTGAACTTGCAGGTGGGTTACAGCTACCTTTTTGCTTTCACATGGGCACCCTATATTCTGCAAACCTTCATTAGAGGAAATACTAGTTCTTAAAACACTGCAGTAGCCCTAAAAATATTTATATCTGTGTAACTTGGGCATGCATCCATTTGCTGTTTGTAAACCATTCAAATCTGGAACTAAGTATTAAGAATCTTGCAACAGAACTGAAAATTTACTGAGAACCAACTGATGATTATGTGATATGGCCTTATTGCAAAGTGAGCCCATAATTTAGGTGTTGCAGTAACAACTCCATCCAGACTCAAATTACTGTCTCCTCACAGTGTAGCTGTTAAGTTGTTGAAAACTGTGGATTCTATAAATATCCTTGTGCAATCACATTATTGGGTAAGTTTGTTGGTTTTGGTTTGTTTTGTGTTGGTAGGGTTTTTTTGTTTGTTTGGTTGTTTTTTTTTTTTTAAAATAAGATTTTGACTGGTGTAGTTTGGTTGGTGTTTGTTGGTTTGTTTTTTTTTTTTGCGGTTGTTGTTGGTTTTTTTCAGTACCTGAGTAACGGATTCTGTCCTGTTTCTCTTAGCTCAAGTGACTGGTGTTTGTTAGCACTAAGTCAGTCTTATTTCTGCATGTCACATCTCACGTCTTGATGGTAATTGGTATTGCTTTTTGGTTTTAGTCTTTCTTCTTTTTCTTGCTTCACGAACTCTTCCTCATTTGTCAGAGACGGGACTTTCACTATGAATTCCATGGAATCTTTGTTGCAGGTCTGTGGGACTATGAAGAACAGTCTTAGTGTTATCTTGGTTAAAGGAATAGATTTAAGATGCTTTATGCAGCTGTATACCATAGAATAGTTCATGAAGAGAAAAGTGATGCTGAAGTTTCACCTTAATGCGACCTTGATTTTTACCTAAACCAGCTGACTAATCTGACTATTTCTGACCCAGTGAAACTAATAATGTCTGTGTCTCTACTTGGTGAGATGGAAGCTGTTGCCTTGTCCTGTATGTAAGTGTAGCCAGAGGCATTCTAAAGGATTAATGTTTTTCCTTAATGCACTGTTTAATATTTTCATGCTGGAGATTATACTGATAGTGGCTAATATACTGTATTGTAGTCAGATGTTGGTTGGCACTGGCTGCTTTCACCCAGGAAGATGCTGCTGGCTGATAGAGAACGAGTGGCTGTTGTATTCTGCCTCTTACTGTGGCTTTCAAGGGTTTCAAATGATGTGGAAATTAAAGGAAGACTCCTTTGGCTTCCTTCTTCTCCAGGAACAACTTTGAATCCTAATAATCAGTTATGGATGATTGAATTTCTTGAAAATGTGTGTACCAACTAATGAATTACAGTTATGTAAAATAGTTGGAGTTTGTACTATATTGGCATAAAAGTTGCTATAGAAATTTCAGCCAAACCTGAGACTGATCAAGTGGGAACTTCTTTCTTCATTCCTCACCTGATCTTTTTTTAATGGTCTCTTCCAAACTTTAAACAACATAATAGAATTACTTGATCTGACTTGCCAAGTAATAATCATATTAATACTTGTCACATTTCACAACCAAATTCTGTGGCTGAGAAAAATTCTGTGGTTGAGACCTATCCAATCTTTAATATTTTTATTTGAAATAATAATCTCTTTCTTTCCTCCTCAGTTCTCTTAGTGTCACGGTTTAGGGTCAGGACTGCCCCCAGACCTGTAACGGACGCTGTCTGTTAACATACACCCCACCCCACCCCCAAGGAAAGAGAAGGAGAATGCGGGAGAGAGACTTCATGCTATATAAAGCTTACCTTTTAACATTGTTTAAAGACTTCTTTCTTTCTTCTTAATTATTAATTTGATAAATCGATAGAACAACTAGTATCTGAAAGGATTACAATACCTTGTTTTGTAGAAAATTGTATTTCTATGGGAATAGGGGATGGAGGATTTAATGCATAGTCCCTACATAATTTCTGTATTTTACTATGATGAAAACAGGTGTGCCATCAGTTTCTTACAGTGTCAGTGTTGAAGCAAGCCATTCTGTATAATCAGAATGTTCAGATACCTTTGGCTGACCAGTTTCTTTCATGAGCCTCCTATACCCTGTAGACTTCAAATCTATTTGTTATCTGTGTCTCTATACCATTTTAACATGATACATCTCTATGTAACGTATCTCTATAAATTTTTTTCTTAATGTATAGAATTTATAGTACTGATATTCTAAATTTGGATAAACCAAAATCATGAACTCTGAAACTGAAAGGCTTTGTTATTTGAACTGATGGGTGTATGTGAGTTGAATTGCTGTGAGTTGAAAGGAGAAATAAGGAAATGAAAATTAAAGTTTATATAAGCATTGCTCGTGTTGCATTGTTCTGGAAATCAGCCTTATTCCCATGAGCTGATTGAAGGTTGACTGTAACTATTTTCTGTTGCAGATGAACCAACACGTTCCTTGAGTGGTCTCATATTGAAGAATAATGTAAAAGCACATTTTCACAACTTTCCCAATGGGGTAACTGACTTCATTAAAAGTGAATGTCTGAATAACATTGGTGATTCCTCCCCCTTAATTAGAGCTACTGTGGGTAAGTGTGCTCTTATTGCTGTGTTCTGCATACTGAAAATGTTACTGGTATGGGTGAGAGCTTCACTAGTTGTGTAACCAGTTATTAAACTCCTAAAAGTGTTTCTGAAAATTGTCACAACTTCACCATGTTTTAATGCTGATAATTATCTTTGGTGTGAATATACAAAAGTTAGATTTACATTTGCTTCCTGTTCTCTTAGAACTGATCCTGCAATTCAGTTTGTATCTGTTGAAATGTAATCAGACATGTTTGTTTGAACCTACTAAAATGGAGCTTGCAGGCAATTTCTTTACCTAAACCAGAACAAGGTAAAGGTCTGAATTCAGTGCTCTTTCAGTATTCTCCTTGCATCAGTTGAACACTTCTGCTGGCTGATTTCATGCTCCCTGTCCCCCATATGCACATGCGTGCACATCCCTTCAGGGAATTAACATACCATGCATAATACATCCACATAACGAGTTTTTGTTTTTCAATACCTTCTGTCAGAAAACAGCAGATAAAGTGTGGTGTGCAGATCATAGACTCACAGAATGGTTTGGGCAGGAAGGGATCTTAAAGATCACCTAGTTCCAATGAGAAGGTTGTTTTATTACATGGATTTCTGATTTCAAAGATGCTTTTAGTACACCTCTTCCATAAAATATGCATATTTACATTAATTTTATTTATTTCTAGTTAAAGTGGTTTTCTGTCTGCTCTTTGAGAATACTTCCTCCAGTTAGTAAAGTCATAAACCTAATTTTGCTTGTCCACTTAAAAAAACTAGAAAAAAGTAAAATAAATACATGTAAGAGTACTGTAGAGAAAATCAGGGTGGATGTCAGTTCAGAAAGAAATTGTCCAGGGTGACTCCTCTTATAAAATACTGTAGCTGTTACTGCTCCTTTAGAATCCTTTGCTTTTTTTGTAGGGCTCCTTCTTCACATGTCTAGGCTGTGGACGATGGGCTGAAGAAAAATGCTTATCTTAGCTTTTTCCTGCTGTCTTGTCACTTGTGAAGCTACTTTACTATGAATTTTATTAATGTTCCATTTTCGTAATGACAGCAGAAGGAAGTCTTTGGGTGGCAGGTACTTCTGTCATTTTGGGTTGTAAAGAATGTATTCCAGCTATATTTGGATTGCTGACTTATAGTTGTTTGGTGGTGATGGTTTGTGTTCCTTTGGGGAGGGTATGGAGGAGGAGTTTGTTTTTGAGCAGTTAGTCTTTTAATTTCTCCTACTACTGTTTGTTTAATTGCTCAGTTACTGTTCAGCTTTAAGTGATGCTTGCAGGGATTATTCAGGCAGGTATAAACAGAAGATGAGTCGCAGCTGATGAACGATATGCTTGTGTAAGAGTTGCTATTTAGGATGTGGTTTGCACCCAGCCATGTGAAGTAATTGTGTTGCATCTTGTAGCCTTCTGTCTCAATAGTGAGGTTAGTCCAGTACTCACTGGTCTCTTGGTACGAGCTAGGTGTAAATTTGCTACCTACCTAGGCTGCCGCTTTAGCTTATGAGTTGGCACGGGCTAGTCAAAGGTATCCTTTGAGATGCATACGGATTTTTGCCATCCAGGTACCATCAATTTAACTAGTCAGTTGGAAATAAGACTTCTGGAATTCTGACAGGAAGAAGAGCAAGTACATCAAAATAGCACCAAAGAAGATTTAATGCTGCATTAAATACATAGATTGCTGCTGCCCTGGCAGTTGGGTGAAGTCACCTTCCTTGGTGACTGGAAGGAGGGAAACATTACACACATTTTTAAAAAGAGTAGAAAGGAGGGCCTTAGGATCTCCTGACTTGCCAGCCTCACCTCTGTGCCTGGGAAGATTATGGAGCAGATCCTCCTAGAAGCTATATAAAGGCATGGGGAGGTAATTCAAGATAGCCAGCATGACTTTACTAAAGGCAAGTCCTGCCTGACCAACCTAGTGGCTTTCTACAATGGAGTGACTACATCAGTGGACATGAGAAGAGCAGTGGGTGTCATCTGTCTGGGCTTCGGTCTGCAAGGCCTTTGACACCGTCTCCCGCAACATCATTCTCTCTGAGTTGGAAAGATACAGATTTGATGGGTGGACTGTTTGGTGGATAAGGAGTTGGTTGGATGGTCGCATCCAGACGGTAGTGGTCAATGGCTTGATGCCCAAATGGAGGTGGGTGATAAGTGGTGTCCCTCAGGGGTCTGTGCTGGGTCCAGTGTTGTTTAATATATTCATCAATATATTAAACTGATATAGACAGTAGGATTGAGTGCACCCTCAGCAAGTTTGCAGACACCAAGCTGAGTGGTGCGGTTGACACGCCAGAGGGATGGGATGTCATCTAGAGGGACCTGAACATGCTTGAGAAATGTGCCCATGGGAACCTCATGAGCTTCAACAAGGCCAAGTGCAAGGTCCTGAACCTGGGTAGGGTCAACCCCTGGTATCAATAGAGGCTGAGGGTTGAAGGGATTGAGAGCAACCCTGCAGAGAAGGACTTGTGGGTGCTGGTGGAAGAAAAGCTGCACTTGAGCCAACAATGCACAGTTGCAGCCTAGAAGGCCAATTGCATACTGGGATGCAAAAAGGAGGTGTGGGCAGCAGACTGAGAGAAGTGATTCTGCCCCTCTAGTCTGGTGAGACCACACCTGGACTTCTACATCTAGCTCTGGAAGCCTCAACACATGAGGCACATGGGCTTGTTAGAGCAGGTCCAGAGGAGAGCCACAAAAATGAGAAGGCTAGAGCACTTCTCCTGTGAGGACAGGCTGAGAGAGCTGGGGTTGTTCCACCTGGAGAAGAGAAAGCTCCAGGGGGACATTATGGTGGCCTACAGGAAGGCTGGGGAAGGACTGTTTACCCGGGCATGTAGCGATAGGACAATGGGCAATGGTTTTAAACTAGAGCAGGATAGATTTAGATTAGACATTAGGAGGAAGTTCTTTACTATGAGGGTGGTGAAACACTGGAACAGGCTGCCCAGAAAGGTGGTGGAGGCCCAGTTCCTGCAGATGTTCAAGGTTGGGCTTGATGGGGCTCTGAGCAGCCTGACTGAGTTAACATGTCCCTGCCTACTGCAGAGGTGTTGGACTAGATGACCTTTAAAGGTCCCTTCCAACCCAAAGCGTTCTACAGTTCTCTGATTCAGTCTCCTTTGTGGTCTCTAGCGTCTAGTGCTAACCTCACAAAAGCCAATACCTTTTGGCCAAGATGGAGGTGAGCTGATTAATCCCATCCTCAGAAGTCACCTCATTGAAGAGTATGAGCCTGGTAATAGAATCAGTTTTAGAGCTGTGACTTGAGATCCAAGTTGTAGCTACATGTTGTATCCTTACATAGCTTTTCCCTATTTTAATCCCCAAATGAGTAACAGTGTGGAACTTCTCTGTCCTCTGCAGTGCAGTTTTTGGAACCCCATATGCAAAGATTGAAATATGGATCCAAGTTCAAGAAAATGGCTGCATATGTTGAGGACCCATGGACTTACCAGGAACTAAATGCATCTATTTAGGAAGAGTCTGATTTTAAAACTTTCTGGGTATTCTAGTCTGGGCGGGACCTTGCTGTTGCTCCTGCTTAAAAGCAAGCATAGGAAATAGTATGAGGATTTAAGAGTAGTGGCAGGACTGGAGAGCTTCATTGCAGAAGGAAAATGGAAACTAATGATTGCCTTAAGAAGGAGAGTTTTGTTACGAAGTTCAGCTTTTTGGGATTAAGGAGTTCAGAAATCAATTTCAGGAGCTACAGAGGCAAAACATTATCCCAAAAACCCCTGCCATCCCCCTGTCCTGTTATTGGCGTGACAGTCCTGAAGCATAGCTGCCTTTATGTTCTATTTTTTTATTGTAGAATTGATGCTGTAAATTGGGGGTTCAGATAACCAAAACATTGACATAAAAGGTGCTGTTATAACAGTTAGACTGATGGTTTTAACAAGTTCTGACATCCCCCTGGAATTTGTTCTCTTATATGTTTGCTGCTCAATTAGCCCAGCTGCTATATTCATTAGATAATAGATTGGTCAAGTGATGTATCAGCAGATTCTGTAATACTGGTTTTGAAGTTCATTACAAATCAAAGAACACCTTTGTAAAGAGTTTCATATTCTCATGTCTAACCTTGCAGCTTAGTATGTTGGTCAGAAGGAGGAGCTCATTTTAACTGTTGGCTGTAGCCCAAAGTCAGACAGCTGTAAGCTACTAAGTTATTTCTTTACCTTGATTATTATTCTGATGTCCATGTTTCTGAGTTTGAAGTATTCCAGAGAAAGCCCTAAAAGCTAATCTCTGGTGTCTTCTCTTGTCTGCTGGCTAAATAGAGCAGCAGGTGGGTGGCAAAGTTTCACATTCAAAGAGGCTGAAGTTCATTACAAGCCTGTGAAGATTCCTTTTAACATGAACATAAGTGCCTAAAACTTAAATTTGTGTGGTTGTATCCTTATTGTTTCTAGAACCCTTCACAAATCTTTGAATACTATGGCTGTTGCCTCTTAAGTTTTTGATGGTCTGGTATTATTCTCTTTCTTTCTTTTTTTTTTTGGTCCCCACCAAGGTGTCATTTCAAAAACAGTAGCACAGCATTAAATGGCTTCTGCACCCACCTGTACAGAAAGTTCATAATGACATGGATGGTCCAAACTGCATGCTTCTCTGTTGCAAGGGGTAGCGGCCTCAGGGTCACGTCCTGTCTATGCATCAGGAAGTATTTCCGTCTAGGTTATCCTCGAAGGAAACTATTCCTAGAAGGAAGCAACTATCCTAGCTGCTGTGTGGAGTAAGCCTTTTGGAAGAACACCTGAACAAGTTTTCAAAATAGTCTTTTCTTCAGTTGTGAAAGCTTGCACATATTACAGGTGTAACAACATGGTTTGTCATCCTCTGAAACCACTTCTAGGACCTTGATAAGATCTTCAACCCACTCTATCCCAAAACTACCTGCCCGTTTGGGACTCTAATACAACTTATATCACATGTTAGCCCACAGAAGTTCCAGGAATTTCATTCTTATGCTTATTCTTGAACACATTAATTTTAATTAAAAAAAAAAAAGGCAGATCATTAAGATCCAGCTACAGTAAAATAAGTGTTTTCTATTAATGAATCTGATATTCTTTGCATGACCATATATTCAGGGGAAATGCAGTCTTTAATACTCCGTAGATCTCTGTAAGCCTTTGGGAATCTTTCCTAATAAGTTGCAGTTATAAAGAGAACTGGATGCAAACTATTTCTGGAGCTCTAAAATTGTGTTTTACCTCTGTCATCATTTTTGCCCTTTGTCTTTGTGAGTTCTCCAGTCCACTGCATGAAAGGAAACATGATGCCAAATACCTTTTAGTTGCTTTGCGTCTTGTCCAGAATACCCTTTGTTCTGTAATGTCTTGTATTCTTACGTATTTAACAAGAATTTTACCGTTTTATTCCAAAGAAAAATTACATATTGAATAGCTCAGTGAAAAAGCTTAGAAAAGCCTTTTTCATTACTTATCACTGGGGAGATTACTAGTTGTAGTGTTTTCATGTTCTTCTGTGTTAATACTCATTAGAAGTGGCTGTCAGTAGCATAGCAGATTATGCTACCTGTTTCATTTTGTCTTGAGGCAAAATGGACTCATAAAAAAATCAATTCTAGTTAATAAGCAGCCTTCCCTGTTCCTGTCACCTAATTACTTTCCCCTGGGATTTCTCTATGTGCTGGAAACAGAATTAGCGACTCTTTGGGCTGACCTCTCTTCTGGATCTCAATCAGCCAACCCATACAGCTTATCACTGGATGACCTGCCATAGTATGTAAGCTTTTAGTAGGTTGAGGAAGATGATGAAGATGATGTGAATTGAGGTGGATACTCAATATTATACTGCAGGTCAAGATTTGTACAGTCTTCAGTGAATGTAAAGCCAAACTACCCTGCAGTGTTTGGGCATGTTTATTTCCTTAACTGGATTTTGTGGTTCAGCCCCAAGCAGAAGCGGGGGACCACATGGCCACTCGCTCACCCCCCAATCCCCAGCATGGGAGGGAGAAAAATACAAACCCCAGGGGCTGAGATAAGGAGAATTTAATACAGTAGTGCAGAAGGGACAGTAAGCAACAGCAGTAACAACATATAAAACAATATAGAACAAAGGGTAAAGGACAGAGATCCACACAGGCTCCGGACGGCAACTGTGTCTCGCACGCCCTGGACTTGGGAACCCCCCGGCCCGGAACCCGCCCTTGCCCCCGGCCTGCCCAGCCTGGCCCTGCTGCCCGGGCACGGGGTCAGCATGGCAGCGAGTGACCCCCGGCTGGGCTGGCTGGGCCCGCCCGCAGATTCCCCCCTGGCAACCTTGTCCCAGCCCAGCCAGGGCTCTGCAATGACTTCGTCCTTGATTTCTCATTCTGAGCCCTTCATGGTGGCAGGAAGGAGTACCCACCTTTGCATTTCAAAGACCTTCAAATACCATTTATGATGAAATGTACTTCCTCTTTTTATGCTTGCCACTTCTCAACAGAACAAGAACATTCTTAACTCAGATGTTTGAGAGGAGAAAAATGAGAAAAAATTGGTATAAAACATGGACCTCTCATTTCCTTCATCCTTGTGATTCCTTTAGGCATTCTGATAACAACCATTGCTTCAAAAGGGGAATTACAGAATTGGCCTGAACTCTTACCAAAGCTTTGCAGCCTGTTGGATTCTGAAGATTACAATACCTGTGAGGTAAGGAGACATAGTCATCTGAATTTGATTACTTTTACCTCTCTTTATAGATACTATATATATATACGTATAGTCGTGTGTATATGCATATATATATATATGCACTTATATTCTCCTCGGAGGACTGTGTCTCAATTTTGATACTTTTTCTTCTACCTGCATTCCATGATCTTACTGTTCATTGAAACAAATTTGTTTTCTTTGCATAAAAGCAGAGTAAGACGGCAGATGGGCTGTTGTAGCATCTCGCCTGAAAAGCATCCTGAAGTTAGCACTCTCTGATGCCTATCTTTCAGGCATCATCAGCAAATTGACCCTGGATTTTCTCTTACTTAGTAGTGGAGTTCATTCTTCTTGTAAATTAATATAGAAAAGCAATCTGTTATGGATGTATCGGGGTGAAATGAATGGTTTTGTTCAGTGTGTATGAAGGAAAATAAATACCTACTTAACTGCTTTAAACTATGAGGAGGAAGAAAGCCTTGCCTGATTAAAAATCTGTGATCGTACAATTTTAATTACTTGATACTGTCTCCACGAGGTGTATGAAGCATTTTATATAAAGTAATCCTTAGAGGTAGGATCATGATCCAAGATGCTGTGCTTTCATGTAGTGGTTTGGTGCTGTTTCAACCAAAAAAAAAAAAAAAAACAAACCAAAAAAACCCAAAACCAAAACAAACAAACAAACAAAAAAAAACCCAACCAAACAAACAAAAACCCACCAAACTGAAAATGAAACTGAAATTGACCATCCTATCCAGAGTTCTGGTTTTGCCCACTGGTGAACCATGAAAGGAAATACAATTGTATATGTAATTAAGTTGGATGCTTCTGCACCTGGGCATTTATTTCTCAAGAAAGAACTAGTTTTTAAGCATTTTAAGAAATTTTGGAATAATTGAGCATTGAATGCTGAAGTCAAAATTGCCACTTATCCATTATTAACTCACTCCGCTGGGGAGTGTACAGATGCCAGTGTAAAGTGCTTAAATAAGAAGCCTGTAAGGATATTTCAGTTTAACTCCATATGTAGCTGCATCTACTGTGTTATGTTGCAGTTACCTGTTTACAAAACCTGAAATTTTGCTTTCTTCATAATGTAAAAGGGGATTTTTATTTTCTTTCAACAGGGTGCTTTTGGTGCTCTTCAGAAGATATGTGAAGATTCTGCTGAAATTTTAGACAGTGATGTGTTGGACCGACCACTCAATATCATGATACCCAAGTTCTTGCAGTTCTTCAAGCACAGCAGTCCAAAAATAAGGTATGTTTAGATGTTACACTACAGTAGTTATGCGTTACCTGTTAAAATTTTATTTACATAAGCAGCAAGGTAGCTATTTTGTCTGTTTAAAACATGCTTAGTGCTTTTAAATGATTCTGCAGAGATCCACAGGGTTTCCGTGCATTAGTAATTTCCATGTTTATCTGCTTAGTTCAATCCCACTTCTTTATACATCTTCCAAATGTACAGTCAGTCTATGATTTTCAAAACCAAACTGTTTCTTTGAAGTTTTTGCATGCTATTATGAAGAAATGCAGTGCTGCAATTAGAACTTAATATTCTGATTAGAAAGAACAATTTTGCATTCATTTTGTAATGGCTTCTGCAATGGGACAGTCAAAATTCTTTTGCTGACAATAGTTCTTGAGTTTTTGCAAAAAAATTTTTGCTTTCACAGCACCAAAACCTAGAAAGCTATTTATCTTTCATCTGAATCAAATTAAATGGCTCCATCATCTTTTCACTTTAAAATTGTATTAACATATCTAAAGTAACAGAAGTATAGGATAGAGCAGAAAATCCAGAATTAAGTTGTTACTGCAAATAGTAATTACAAAGAACAGTGGCTTTTACCTTGAAATAAGCCAGCAGTGTGCACCAGCCACAAAGAAGACTAATGTTATCTTGGGCTGGGGTGTTGCCAGCTGGTTAAAGGAAGTGATCCTTCCCCCTCATCTTCCACGTGAGGCCACACCTGGAGTACTGTGTCCAGCTGTGGGCTGTCCAGTCCTTTTGCTGACCACTTGCCCAATCTAGAATGATGTTACCGTTAACAGGCAGGCCAGCAGCCAAACCCCTCTCTCCACTCTCACACACGAGAAATCCAAAGCGCCAGACAGCCAGAGGGAGGAACAAGTCAATGCACTCACCCAGCACAGTGGACATGAAGAAGGGAGTGAGCTGGGCAAGGAGCCAAGCCATGGGAGATGGTAGCAGCCAGGCCATGAGCCCAGTTACATATCAGGGACTCAAGAGACAGCTTCATGTTCTGGCCCTGCCATCCTGGGAACTCCACTTGCTGTGAAGAGTCAGGGAGCCCTTTTGATAGCCAGAATCCCCACATACACTCTCCCAACCCCACTGCAAGCAGTCAGCTCTGTAGATATGGCTTTTTTTTCCCCCCCCACAATTAAATTGCAAGTGGGGGGCACTGGTGCTGATATTCTCATCAGCTCCCACGCAAGGCTAGCCAGACCCTGGGTGAAAAGCAATTAGGAGGATCTTGCTTGCCTGGTTGTGGACATCATCCAGGAAATATGCCAACCCTCATTCAGGGCTGGGGGTTTAACCCCAGCATTTCAGCATTGCAAGGCAGACATGGACATACTGGAGAGAGTCCAGCAAAGAGCCTCAAAGGTGATGAAGGGCCTGGAGCATCTTTTCTGTGAGAAAAGGCTGAGAGAGCTGGGACTGGGGGAATTCATCGATTTATGTAAATACCTGAAGGGAGGAAGCAAGAAAGACGTGGCCAGACTTTTTCCAGTGGTGCTCAGTGACAGGATGAGGAGCAGTGGGCACAAACCAAAATACAGGAAGTCTCCACTGAACATCAGCAAACACTTTCTTACTGTGAGAGTGAGCAAGCTGTGGCACACATTGCCCACAGAGGTGATGGAGTCTCTATCCCTGGAGATACTCAGAAGCCATGCTGACTTACAGCCTGGTTTCAGTAGATGGTGCTGAAGTAGGAAAACAATTAATAGTGTCAGTAAAATACATCATGTTTAAGTTTGCCGAGTTAACTTCTGAGCAGTGTTTTTTGAGATGGTCTTCCACGAAATGTCTGAGCAAAATGGAAACTTGGAGTTACATTAGTAAAAATATTTTAATGGATTGTCAGAGGCTTTTATAGGTAGTTTAGCCTTGTGCCTTTACTTACAAAATTTGACTTTTGTATCTCTGAGAATGAAAAAGACCTGTAAGTAATGGCTTTGCAAGAAATAGAAGAACCAATGCTTAATTTTTTAATATATTTCTACTAGAAGTGTTATAGTATGTATTCTGTTACAACTGTGTGTTTGTTCTCAGCTACAGCTATGTTGTTGACACATGTTGGTCTCACTGAATACAGAAAATATAGCAAAGGTAGTTGGATACTTAACAAGAAAGAAGGGCATACTGAAGTTTCAACGTGTTGACCTGTATGGAATTGTTAATATCGGAGCGTATCAGTAATCATACTCAAAAAGAACATCCTTGCAAACTGTGTGTAAGAAATATGACACCTGTAGTCATCCTGCTCTGTTTTTTATTTATCAAATACTTTATTTTAAAATATTTGTTAGTAATGTATCAGAGTTATAAGGTGGTACTTAAAAATGTGTTCTAGTATTTTTTCTTGGTAATACTATAGATGTGCAAATATGTTTCCTCTTGTTTGTAGAAGGTACATTGGATAATGTAAGTTGCTTCCTAATGCCTGTGTAGAGTTTAGAAAATTATTTGAACTGAGGAAAAATGTATATTTTTACTGATTCAATTGTAGGTCTCATGCTGTTGCATGTGTCAATCAATTTATCATCAGCAGAACTCAAGCTCTTATGTTGCACATAGATTCTTTTATTGAGGTGGGTGTGCATTTGTTACTGTTATTGTTACTACTGTTGTTTACTGCTCCTCTTGTATTAAATTCTCCTTGTCTCAGCCCACGGGGGTTTGCATTTTTCTCCCTTTTCTCCTTCCCATTTGGAGGGTGGGGATTGGAGTGAGTGAGCGGCCACATGACAACCAGCTCCCGCCGGGGTTGAAACCATGACAGTTGACCATTCTTAGCTTCAGTCCTCATGGACTGGAATTTCTTCTGTACAGTTGTGTGCAGAGTTCATTAGTCTAAGTAAGCACTCTCCAAGCCCAAAACATAGTGTTTTGAAAGATGCTGCTTCTTCATAACTGGAGGAAATTCTTGTTTCATAAAGATGTAAAAGTGACCTGTCACTTCTTTGTGGTGGAGAGTGCTGTAGAAGGATCATCATGTCACTGAGTCCATTTGGGTCTCTTTGAACATTGCTACTGAACATGGATTAGAAGGGTTGTCTTTTGGGTTGTCTAGAGTATTTGATATGCTCCTGTTATATACTGATGGAGTTTTCTGGCTTCAGAACTTCATTTACATTTAGGGAAAAAAAAATCCAGAAAATACTGTTGTTGTGCCAGTGCTAATAGTACACAGTGGTTTGGTTATGTGCACAGTACACACTGAGAGTCTGAACAGCTTGCTTGCTGAACCATAGACCTTTAAGAAATAAAATGGTGCTCTGAGGTGTGGGGTGGGAAAGTATGGAAATACATGTTTGCATGCTTTACTTTGTCAGTTTAAATAGAAGCTGAACTAGATGATCTCAGGCTTTTCAACAGCTGCTACTTCCCAACAGAATCTTTTTGCACTGGCTGGCGATGAAGAGCCTGAAGTACGGAAGAACGTTTGCCGTGCTCTGGTGATGTTGCTGGAAGTTCGAATGGATCGCCTGCTTCCTCATATGATTAGTATAGTTGAGGTGAGTCTCATTTTCCAAACTGCATACTGAGTAACCTGTTTGGGATTGCAGAAAAAATAACAAATAAAAAGCGTTAATCAGAACAGGTACCTTACTCTTGCACTTACCTACTCTTCATTTGCCTTCTAGACTGAGACTGCAAAACTTTCTTGGCTAATTGTCAAGTTGATGTTGTGTTTGGCAGGCAGTGCATATGGCAGGTTTTTATTCTTCATTAAGTTAATTGATCCTGAAATGGTCAGGATCATCTATACTATGGAGCAGACAGGCATTGCTTGACCCCGAGTGAGAAGATCCTGTTAAAGATCTGGTGCTAGTACTGATACTGCTACAGTTTACACACTGAAGCTGCGACTGTTTTTTTTTTAGGTCTGTTGACCATAGCAAGGGTAAGGCATGTTATTCTGTATAGCTGAGATGCTCTTTGAGCTGTTAATGATGCTGCCTTAAGTTGCAGAGGTTAATGTCATTTGATAGTTCTTTTCCGATTCTACATTAGCGCAGACTTGTCTACCAGAGGACCAGTCAGCTGTTTTTTTGTCTGCTCAATTGTGTGACCTGTAATTTCCACATTTCTAGGAAATACTTCCAGTTTCTAGGTAGCGTTTACACATGCTATTTGATAGACTAGAAACAGAGCTAAGACCATAATGTTTCTCATGCAGATTTCACATGGACAAGTGATCAATCACCCGGCATAAAATTCCTTACGGATTATGTCCAGACAACACAAAGTGTGTTACAGGTTTTTTGCTCCTGCACACAGGCATTAGAGATGCATAACACCAAGGTGACCCATGACAGCCTTGGCCTGCTGTCTGGTCTTCCTCTGCATTGGCTGGAATTCCATGGCACCAGTCTTCACAGGCATATTCTCTCATAAGATAGCACAAGGGAGGATTGTTGGTACTTGGTGGTGGGGTGGGTTGGTTGACTAGTTGAGAGGGATTTTTTTTTAGTTTGTTTTGGTTTTTTTTGAGACAGAATAAAGCTTTGGAGACTATATTGTCAAGACATGATAACTTCTCTGGCTTGTCACACTCCTAGGATCAGTAAGGAACTTCTGGGCTTTATAGGTAGCAATGTCACAGTGCAGAAGAAGATCCAAGATTTTATTCTCTTTGTATCTGGTATTTTGCTGTTGAGAAAACTATTGCTAGGCTTCCTCTCTACAGAAGGCAGTGGTAGTCATTTTCTGTTCTGTAATAGGAAGTTTAGACTCTTAGGTTTGGTTTGTTTGTTTTTTTTTTTCTAGTTTTGGGACTACTGTGTACTGTTACTGATTTCCCAGTTCTGTATGTGTCCTGGTATGTATAAAGGTAATATCTCAGAACTGACTACTATTAAACATTCAAATGAGTCAGTTTTTTCAGATTTGAGGCTTTAATGCCTCCATGCTAGATGCTGCTGCTGGTGGCTGGTCTAAGTGAAGAAGGTCTTAAAAGAGAGAAACTTGATTCTGAGGTGGTCTTGGTAGGCATCATGCTTTTGAAGCAGACAGGTTTAAACTTTCTTGTGAAATTCCTAGGGCATACAGGAATGGCTGAGTTTGGATTTCATTGCAGTTTTTGAACATGCACTTCCAAGTGAACATAAGCAGATGTTCTTTTTTTTTTATGGTTTGGGTTTTTTTTTGTCTGAGAACTTAATAACAGAATATCTCAGGAGTTTACCAGCTTAGAATTTCAACTGTTAGATTGCACTTCTACACTCACAGAGCATATTTATCCAAGCACATGGCTTCTAAAATCTTTCTTAGTAGAAATCCTGACTTTTGCATCCTATTGCTTTCTTCAGGTAGAGACATGTCTTTTACTGCTCAAAGTATGTGTTCTTCTTAATGCTTTGTGTAACTCACTATTCTTTTCTTGATGGCTTGACTTGACAAGGCTAGCACAACATCATTTGTCATAGAGTCTTTATAGTTAGAAAAAAAGACCTTTACAGTCACAGAGTCCAACCTAACACTGCCACGGCCACCACTAAACCATGTCTTTAAGCACCACATCTACATGTCTTTTCAAATAACTTCAGGGACAGTGAGTCCCATCACCTCCCTGGGTAGCCTGTTCCAGTGGTTGATAACCCTCTCGGTGAAGAAGTTTTTCCTAATATCCAACCTAAATCTCCTCTGGTGCAACTTGAGGCCATTTCCTCTTGTTTATTGATTTATGTTACAAAGTACACAAAACTGTACTAAATAATCTTCCTATGCTATTTTGTAATTTCTTGTGATGAAACAACTATTTCATTGCCTGAAGTCAGTAGAACTTTATAGCTTATCATTAAAAGGCCTTAGTACAATTTGGCATGATAATATTAAAAAAAAAAAGCCTTCAAATACCCTTTCCACATTTTTGTATATTACTAGGCTAATTGTTCTTACTGTGATTTCCCGGGTGTGTATTTGGCTGTCTTGCACCACTGAATGCAAGTAGGCTTTTCAATCTGCTATATTAACTTCATAGAGCGTATAGTATAATACTTACAAAAGATACCTAAAGAGGAAATGAGAGTGTGAGAGATGTCTTCAAACAGATTACTCCTTGTCATTCTGTTTTTGTTTTCCTGACAAATATCAAATCCGCAACAAAATAGTGGGTTTTTAAGCCCTCAGAGGAAAAAAGTCAGTTCTCTTAACTTAAAGTATGTTAGGGAAGCCTTGCCTGCAATGAGCAGGCCATTTTTCAACCTTTCTGAGCTGAAATCTGTTGGCAACTAGGAATAGAGCAGTATTTATTTACTGTGAATTCTCAATCACAGTAGTGAACCTTTAGGAAAGCTTGCAATTTAGTGCTGTTCTGTATAGAGAGCAGTGCCATTCATGGCAAGTCTGACATCCCTGGAATGCATAATGGTAACAAAAGTCCCCCATTCTATTTTATTTTGAGATTACAATAGTATTCTGAAGCTACTGAAGAGGGATTTCTTTTGCTCTAAATCCATGTATGATGAAAAGTCGCTGCATGGACTTCAATGAGGTTTTCTAAAGCCAATGGAAAAAACAGCTGTTTCAGAAATCAGGGCTGGCATGGAAGAATGCAGAAATTACTATTTTGGAAGCTGCAAGAGTGTTCCATAAACTATTTTGGCAGTTGATGTAGCAATGGTCTACTTAGGCTTTTTGGTCATGCTGATACTTGATTATTTTGGTGGCAGGAGGATTAAGTTTTAATATCAAGCTTTAAGATTTGATACTGAATTGCCATTAATGCTAGAAAAATGTGAGACTTGTTGCTTTTTTCATTTTCCTGTGGTGGGTTATACTTAATTTCATCCTGCTAGGTAATGGAGATTTGGAAGGGAAGCTTTTTTATGGTACTGGAAATAAAAAGTATTTCCATCTTGCTAAAGGGTGTAGTTGTACCTTTTTATTTAAATTGCAATGAAGGGGTAAAATACAGTCTTTTTAAAAAGCTCTATTCAAAGGAAACTGCTGTCTAGTATGTTTGGTCTCTGCAGCTTTTTGGTAATAATGTTCTCTCTTAAGTAATGAAGAAATTTACAATCTGGATCATCTAGCATTACGAATAAGTGTCTCAGCTTATTCTGATGATAGCCTTAAGAAATCTCTTCATCTGTTTCTTCCCCTCACCTCAAAGAAACAGAATTGCTATGGTAGCATAGTCTGGTTTTGCAAACACATTTTACAATGTGGTTAGCATCATCTGGATGCTTAAAACTTCTATCTTTATACAAGGAATTTATTTTTATGTTGTGTAGTACATGCTTCAAAGGACCCAGGACCAAGATGAAAATGTGGCATTGGAGGCTTGTGAGTTTTGGCTGACTTTGGCTGAACAGCCAATTTGTAAAGATGTGTTATGTCGGCATCTTACCAAGTAAGTAATAAGAATTACAACTCCTATTTATTTGAAATAGTCATCTTTAAACTTGAGCTGACTTGTTTGTGGTTACTCTTACAGAAACTATCTAGTTTGCAGTATGCTTAGAAGAATTTTCCTGTAGCTAGTTTTTGTGCATACTAAAAGTTGCTGTAGGACAGAGTTCATTTAAAAAATCCTGATGATTTCAGACCCAGCAGGCTCCAGAAACAACCTAAACTGTCATTGTGGTGCTTTGCCTCAAGCTTAACAGGCTGTTAAGCTTCACATGGATGCAAAGATGTGCTAACTTGAGCTCAAACAAACATTTCCACCTGTAATACCTGGTGTGCCATGAATATGTTGTCTTGACTGGTGCTGATGTAGGCAGCTCTGTGAAATGCTGCTGTGTGCATAGTCATGCAAAGAGTTCTTCATTTTATAAAGAACATAACAAAACAACATGACATTACTTAGATTTAGGAATCAGGTCTGTATCAATTACTACTGCAACTTAAACTTAGAAAGCATGTAAAATGGGTTCCTTCAAACTTCTGTAGCCCGATAGTTGTTTAAGCCTTAAAAATCAGGTTTTGTAAGTTTCAAAATTTATCCTACAACTCAAAAGTGTAATCTCTGAATGGCAATGAATATCTGTGTTTGAGATGCAAACATCTGTGTTGCTGCAACAATGCTTTTAACTTTTTTTCCAGACTAATCTGAAGTTGTGGAATACAACATGAATTCTGTAGCGTTGCCAGTAAATGGATACTCTTTGGTTTTATATATGCATGGCAGGTTTTTTAAAATTACTAGGGTAGTTCTTTCAAGATCTTGAAGAATAGTGTCGGAGACCAAAGAGATGCGTTCTTCTCAGCAAAAATAAGTATTGTAGATTTGTAGCAATTAAAAAATCAGTAAAACCTCAGTTTTCTTAAACAAAGTTGAAAATTTGTATTAATACACCTACTGTAGCAGTGGAGGAAATAGAGTTGAAAGTAAGAGAATGTTATGAGAAATTTTTTTTACGTTTTAAAATAATTTAATTCCTACACTTGTAGCTCAAAAGACAAAGGAATTTTGAGTACAGTTCTTAAGTCTACCCATCCCTTTCCCAGCACATATAATGTTTATACTGAGAATAGTAATAGTTATTAACTACTAGGTAATAACTGTTTGTACTGAGAATAACAGTAGTATAACTAGTAGTAAACGTTTTTTGGCCTACATGAACATTAACACTGCAGCAGCATCATACTCAATTTGCAAAAAAAATTTTTAAAGGTTTTAAATTTCTAGAAAAAAAACAAATGTACCATGGCATTTCTTTCGTAATCTTTCAACGTCATGTTTGTTGAAAGCAGCTTATTTGTTGGCGAGTCCCGTTTGACCAGAGAGCTATCTAATTTTGTCAATACTTGATGATAATCTTAACATCTTTAATATTCAATTAAAAGTGGGACAAGATCTTCTAAAACCCATTAATGCACTGTCTTAACATATTGTTCCATTTTGCTCCTGTAGGCTTTCTCATAAAATACATAGCTCCTGCATACTTGATGAAGTATGCTGCAGAAATGCCAATGAGTTGGTGTTACTATTCCTTCATTCCAAGTTTAGGAGGTAATTTGCCACTGCAATGCGTGAATGTTATTGCTGGCCTGGTACCTTCAAAAGCAATACTCCTCAGCTGCAGAATATATGTCACTAGGTTTGGATTAGTCCATTGTCATTGTTGATTGATTTTTGTATGTATGTTTGTGGAGAACCTGTTTTTACGTGAAGTATTTTACTTTTTTCCTTTAGTACTTTTTTTGGCTATACATCTCCACAGTTGGAATCCCATGGCCATAACCAGTTTAATAACAAAGTAAATCCTAATACAGATTAGTCAAGACACCTCAGTGTTTGAGGACTTGTCTTACTGAAGTAATCGTATAAGGATAGGAGAGCTTCATGTAGTTATAGACTTCCGTCTTTAAGAGTAATGAGATCAAATCTTCAGACACAACTGAATAAAGTAACAAGTACTACTGGTGAGAGCCAGCTTATTTATCATCCATATTACAGGAGTTTGAGTTGTTACTGAAAACCTTCAGACTGCATTTATGGCAGGTGCTTCAGGTTAAATTCATATAGAAAAAATACCTGTTCTTTAAAGTTTTAAACTCAGTTGTGCCATCTGTCTGCCTCTAGTTAGAAGTTTGTAAATTAACACTTTTTCAGATTACAAAGTATTGAACCTTGCGATGTGGAGCTTGGTTTGAGTACAAGTATTTTCACTGTCAGGCTAAGCTTGTTTTTCTTTTTATTTTTGTTGTTTTATTTTTGGCTGTGGGGCTGAGGCTTACAACCAAAATTATGGCCAAGGTAACTGAAGCTGGCCAGAACTGGCTTACTTTTTAATATATATATTTTGACATGCATCAATATTTCTTTGTAGGCTGATACCCGTGCTGGTAAATGGTATGAAATATTCAGAGATCGACATTATTCTGTTAAAGGTAAGCATCAGTTTCTTTTACTTTATAAGAGTATCTGGTTAGCTTCTGGCCTATAAATCAGAATGATTCGGCTCAGAATGGGCAGGTCTGGCTTGTGTCTCTTTCCATGAATTAGCTTTCCGGGGCAAGCTGTGCTGTTCCATATAGTAAAGGTGGCTGTTGCCAAAGTGTTTGAAAAATAATCTCTGGACTTTTCTGCTTTGCCAGCATCTCTTCCCAGCCTAGGCAAACCTGCAGTACTGTTACCCATGACCTACTGCAACAATGCAGCCTAAAAAAAAGTGTTCAGAATTGGTTTTACTGCCCTCTAGATTGAATACATGGCTTTTTCCATTGTTACGTTTTAGAATATACCTGTATACCAGAATTGCTCTGTCGCTTCTTTGTATTTCATTCCCACTGAGTCATTTCTTAACAAGAAGGATACTTTATGCATGAGCTTACCTCTTTTGCCCCTATTTTTCTGTCGTTTTTCTGGTAAATTCAGCCGCAGAATGTAGGATCAATAGCATATTTAGTTAGCTGGACAGCACAAGCGGGATGCAAATTTTTTAAATGTTTATAAAATATTGAACTAAAACTACATTTCTGACTTCCTCAAGCAATATAGTTGGATTAGTTTATCTGATAACACGTTTTGATGACAGGGGGATGTTGAAGAAGATGAAGCTATTCCAGATAGTGAACAGGACATAAGACCTCGTTTTCATCGTTCACGGACAGTGGCTCAGCAACATGAAGAAGATGGTATTGAAGATGACAAAGAAGATGACGATGAACTTGATGATGATGATACTATTTCTGACTGGAATTTAAGTACGTTAAAATAATGTGTAAAATGTTTTAAAATAGAGCTACTTGCACAATACTTAACCTCATCAAAAGAGAATGTTGTGTACAGGAGTACCGAGGCTTTTTGCTTTTGAATACAGGAAGAACTGTCTGCTGATGTAATTGGTGGAGGGGGAGTCTTTCAGATGACACTTTGATATGTAACTGTGTTGGCAAAAGCTAGCCATCTATGGTTATCTTGAATATGGCAGATCAGCTTTAATGGATGCAAAGCAACAGAACTTCTGGATTTACAAGTTTAATTCTACAGTATAATAAAAATAATTCATTGCCTGTTTAACTTCAGTTAAAAAAAAAGCCACAAACAAATCAAACATAATCAAACATTTACGCACTGATAGCTTAAGGAGGATCTTTAATAATGCTGTCTTTTACTTCAGTCTTACCTCTAAGATTGCATCATTTGTTTCCTTTTGTTGTTTTTTTGTTTTGTTTTTTTTTTTTTTTTTCACCTGTGAACATGCTGCTACTGACAGCTGTTACCAGTGGTTCTTTTCTGTGTGAGGAGTTTGCTTCTGACCAGAATGCAGTACCTTAGCTATGAAGACAGAAAAATAGCCATGGGGAAGCCAGTGTAGAAGTCTTTTTAGTGACTATTTAAGTGCTGAAAAACTGGCTTCCTAAGAGCTGTAGCTTTGCACCAGAGCACAGTGGATCACTGTGCATTGCTATAAAATGGAAGCATCTTTCCTTCTAATGCCCTGAGACTCCACTGGGAGCTCAAAGTTAAAATGAGGATTATATTGCCTAACTGCAACTTCTTGTATAATAAGCAGAGATTAACGCTGTTAATTCCCCTCAGGGAAATGTTCTGCTGCTGCTTTAGATGTCCTAGCCAATGTATTTCGTGATGAACTTCTGCCACACATCTTGCCCCTTTTGAAGGAATTGCTCTTCCATCCTGAATGGGTAGTTAAAGAATCTGGTATACTTGTTCTTGGAGCGATTGCTGAAGGTAAGCAACAATGTGTATCAGGTTGCTGCATTTTTTGTTGGTTTTAAAGCAGCTCTGTGATTCCGCCCAGGTGAATTTACTGCCATAAAAAAGTATATGTCCTTAGCTGTTTTGGTAATTGATCTTTGCATCTTCTAGTTGGTAACTGTAGTTATTTAGCTTTTCATTTTCAAATCTCTGCATGCTTGGGAGGCTAAATAGCTTAGATAATTTCTTCTATTTCTTCTTTTCTTAGCTCTGCAGCAAATATTTATTGGTCTTTCATTAAATACTACCTTGATCTCACAGAAGAGGAATGTTTGATAAATTTGAGCCTTACCTTTCCTTCAGGTGTTTTCAGACTTGTAGAAGACCGCTCTTGTGACTTCAGTGCCCTGAGCTGCTTTTTGTAGATGGTTCTCTAGTTTAAATATGATAACTTCCATTCTTTTGTGCTTACTCACACTCTTGCTTGGCTTTTTGCCTGCCTTTCCAACATCTCAGTGCAATCTGAAGGAATACTCCATGACATGTGACTCCGTGACTGGATTATCTTTCTTTTCCCACAGTGCCTAATGAATACACTTTTTTCTTTGTTACTAGAAAACTTTTTTGTTGGCTTTGATTTCAAGTCAAGCAAGGCAAAAGTACTTCTAACAACAGACCTCAGTGTATTGCTGCCCTTGCAGACTTGAAATGTGTAGCTTTTATTGCTGGTCAGTATTTCTATGATACTACGAGAAGAAAGAGAAATTTAATTTTCTCTAAGAAATCCTTTTTAGTGATGTGATGATTTCTTGTCAAGACTGAGTATTTTGGTTATTTATTGTCTTGGTTACTCTGAGTAGGCTGACATAGGACCTCCAAGCTTTATAAACTCATTTTATTTAGATGTACTTGCCATACTCGATTTAGTAAAGCAGAATTGCCGAAGATTGGGGAAGAACTGACATGGAAGTCTAGTTGAAATTAAAGTAAGATTAATTGGAGAATTTAGTTATTGTTTATGTAAGGTTTCTTTTTATGTCATAATATAAATAAGGTAGACTTGCTGTGTATGTTGTTAAAATGTGTTCCTACATGATAGAGAATGAAAATGTCCTTTCTAGGAAACGGAAAACAACAGGATATATTGTTAATTCTGGTACTGCAATAGCTGTGTTTTTCCTTCTAGGCTGCATGCAGGGTATGATTCCATATCTTCCTGAGCTCATCCCTCACCTTATTCAGTGCCTCTCTGACAAAAAGGCTCTTGTGCGCTCCATTACATGCTGGACTCTTAGTCGCTATGCACACTGGGTAGTTAGCCAACCCCCAGATACATACTTGAAGCCATTAATGACTGAGTTGCTAAAACGTATCCTGGATAGCAACAAGAGAGTACAAGAAGCTGCCTGCAGGTAAGCCAAAGCTTAAGAAAAAAGTTCTATCCATCACACTATGTTTTCATGGGAAACTATTTTAATGCCTTTATCAATGAATGCATGATGCCCAAAACCAAATTCAAGTAGATGCAGCTTTTTCCAGAGTAGTCACAAATTACTCTGAGCTGTAATAATATGAAAAAAATTTGTTTTTCCGTTGTCCAGTTTGCTTTCAGAGTAAGTTAATCACCAAACTAATTTATTGTAGTAAAGGAAATCATCTGTTTATAAAACTTGTGTATTTTCAGTATACATGATGTTTCATTGATAGAAATCTGGCTATTTTTAATAGGCCTATGAACAAAGTCAGTAGTGATTACAGTGGAAAACTATCCTAGCATTGGATTACTGTTGTTGGGTATATTTATTTTAGGATTACAAAAACACTGGAGTTAGGATTTTTTCAAGGGATATTCTGTTTCTCTCGAAGGGAGATCCTAGGAGATAAGATGCCCTTCTCCCCCTTGGCTGCTGATATTTAATAAATAAATAAATTAGTGGCTTTGTTAATGGACACACCATTAATGGAATGGGAATTGAGAAACCTCTTGCACACGAAGCTCATCAGATAAAGCTTTTCTATTTCAAATTGTGTGGGACAGGACAGTATAGACAACATACTGCCAAGAACATTGCTTCATAAAGCAATCTGATTACTTGATGAATGATCTGCCTCTGGTTGTCTTCCTAACACTTGAAACGTGCAAATTTTTTAAAGTGATAAAGTTAGTATCAGTAATATCACACCCCATGCCAAAATATCAGTAATGCCCAAGGACAAGGCCGAGATCAAAGTTCTTGTGCTAAGCGTTGCATGGGAAGGGATAGATATATCCTTGCCTGAGAATAGAAACAGTTAAATACTTAGTAAGATTTGAGTATTAAATACTGGGTTTTTTTGGTCTCTAAATCTTTTCAAACACTAGGCTAGCAAATTTGTTGGGCTTTAGCATCTGCTCAATTCTGTCTTTTCATAGTGGTAGTCTTCTGATCCTTCCTGAATAAGCAGGAAAATGGCGAGACAAGACTACTTCCTTCATGCATTTTTCTGATCCAAGGAATCAGATTAAGTACAGATTCTATTCAAAACAAAAACAAAACAAAACAAAACAAAACCAAAAAAAAAAAAAAAAAAAAAAACCACAAAAAAAAACAAAGAAAAAAACCCACCATGCAACCAAACAACAAAAACAACCAATCCTAGCGCAGACAAAACCTCTATACTTCTGGTCATACTTTTCTTGTCCAAAAAATGGTTGAAATGTGCATGTAGTTGAACACAGCAGAACATTGCAGCTGCTCACACCATGTAGGGCTATGAGTGAAGAGCAATGGGTAGCGGAAGCTGTTAAAGTCATAAGAAAGAGATAAAATGGAAATATTAAATGTAATACATCTGGTTATTTTTTATTTAAAGTTCAGTATCTGATTATAGCATGTTTTGAAATTCTTTCAACCAGGGATTCATTGAAATTACTGTTGCAGCTAAAAAGTAAACTACATGGGAAACTCTACTGTAAATAAAATGTAGAGCTGTTACAAGTCAAAACATACTTATTAGCTTTCTAAATGGCAAGGAAATATGATACTTTTGGAGAGGAACAAAAATCTGCTTCCCTACAGTGAATAGTTGCACAGATTGTAAATATCTACCAACCTGAAAATTGGTCATGAAAGGATACTGTGTGTTTTCATCACTAAGTTCTGTACCGTAGCAGATGTCTAAGGTTCATTTTAATCTAAGATTCAGATAAACTGCTCCTTCAGTTGGTGACACACAGAAAGGTATTTTACTGAAACATGTTTTCCTGCTCATGTTGTATGCCTTTCTGAACAAATACTTCATAATAGCAATAAAATAAGTAAGAATGACAGCCACATAGCGTTCACAGTTGCGTTCTGTTAAGAAAGAGGCATTTACGGATTTGGTAGCACACTAGTGCGTGCAATGATGCGTGCATTTTTAGTGCAGGACAGACTAATAATAATATGGTTGGCACTAGCCAGGCCAGTAAATCTTCAATAGCTCATGATTTTTTCCTTTTCTTACTGTTTCTCTGAAGCAGCGTGTTGGGGGGGAGGGAGGAGGTGTTTGCTTTGGGTGGGGTTTTATTAACACTCTTGTTTAAACATTGGACAGACAACTTGAAAAGTTTCCATGATGACATGTTGAGTGCATTGACCAAGGCTCGCTACAACTCTTTGTGCCCTGTCTTTGCTTTTAGTTTTTCCATTTCTCCCAGTATCAGTTTTTCTGTGTAGTGAACTGCTGAAAGTACAGGCAGGCTGATGTTGGCGTAGTTCTGGCATAACAGCACTAGGGCTTCTAAGGCCACCTACAGCATACATTAAAGATAGTGGGCTGGTTTTAACTTAAATAGACAGCTTTTGTTATGGTTCCTCCTATTTCAGTTAGTTTATTATAACTTGTCAATACTTTTATAATAGTAATGCTTTTCTCAGTGGGGCCTTCCTGCATATACGTAACAGGTTTTACGACAATATTTTAAGATTTTGTTCATCGCAGAGCTGAACCCTTACATGTTGAATTCAAATAGATTGCTGTCTCAGTAATACCATTTTGAAAGCATACCTTGGATGAATTTGAGTACTAAATACAGTTTTATATTTAAAAAGACATGGGTAATATGGGGAACTTTGCGGTTGTCGTGTTTTGTTTTCTCCAGGATACTAACTGACCTGTTTTTTTGTCTCTCAGTGCCTTTGCTACTCTAGAAGAGGAGGCTTGTACAGAGCTTGTTCCTTATCTTGCATATATACTTGACACTTTGGTCTTCGCATTTAGTAAATACCAACATAAAAACCTGCTCATTCTTTATGATGCTATAGGAACTCTAGCAGATTCTGTAGGACACCATCTAAATAAACCAGTAAGTATACCTTATGTTCTGTAGAAGCATTAATTGTTACTGAAAAACTGTCTGAGTGTGTTTTTGTGGTGTGCTTTACACGTTTTAAAACAGAAATGCTGATATTTCTGTGTAGATTTCAATAATACTAATTACTTACAGGTTAAATACATGGACTGCATGTAATTTTCCCATTAAATATTCACAATTTTGAATAAACAGTTGTGTGTGTGGTGGCTTGTGAAATGTGCTTGTCGTGATTTTTTTTTTTTCTCATGCTCAGAATTTTTTCACACGGAGAGGCATGTATCAATACATATATGAAAAGGGACTTCAGAGAAATTGGTGGAATATGTGTTTTAATTTCTAATGAACAGAGTTTTTTTTCTAACCAATTCAAGTATAGCTAAGCTGTTCTGTATGTCTCTTTCCAATGTATTGGAGCACATCATCACTAGAAATTGCTTTATCAGAGGCTGAGACAGGCATTCATTTCACATATATAAACACAGAATCGTTTGGACAGAGCACAGGTAACACAGGCAAATAGAGTGTTTTTTTTGTGTGTGTATACATATGTTAATTAATAGAATGTGTATGTGTCACATGTATGCATCTTCCTGTGATGGTTATTGAAACGTGTTTTATTTCTCTAGTGTTTCACATGACAGCTTAGAATAAAACAGTTTGTTTCCTTGGCATCTTACTTGCCATCTGAGACTCCACACCATCAAAGGACCTCTTTCGCAGTCTCTCTGGCCCTGGCCATCTCAACATTGGACAGTACCAGAGGGGAAGCTAGCTGGGAGCTCCTGGTGGTGGACTTGCTTCAGTCACTTAGAATGTTTTATCTTTAGATATAGCACTAGCTGGCAGCATCTGTTGGCTCTTCAGATACATTCTGGGAGCAAAAGCCCTGTAGGGATACATTGCTCTATGTACTTGTGGCTGTGCGGTGGCAGGAAAGATGCAGCAGCTCCATATAGGAGTGTGTCCTTCTGGAGGAACAGGGACTTTCTTTGTGAATGCTTAGTTGCTTGAGGAAGAAGTTTCAGGAGCTTGGGAGGATAAGGTTGTACCATCAGGGCAATGGTAAATAGTTGAGAAAAGCAGGTGGCAGATATATATACAAATTTCCTTGCTAGTAAAAGCATTTTCCATAGGCCCTGAGGCAATCATATAGATTTGTAGCAAGCCAGGCAGCTAGACTGAAACCAAACCTGAAGGGAAAGACTGCCTCTGCCAAGGTATTTACGTGCTTCAGCAAAAAATCTTAACATACAAATTTTAAACTGTAGTATTAAATTACTTCTGTGTATTGTAATGATTAAATTACAGTATATCAGGGTTTTGGTTTTGGTTGTGTGTCGTTTGGTTTTTTTGGTTTTTGTTTTGTTTTTGGGTTTTTTTTGTTTTTTTTTTCAGAAAAAGTAGAATATATATCAATTCTAAATACATCTGGTTTTAGCTTTAAAATTAAATACTAGGCAACGGTGTGTTTCAGCAGCTGATGTATTTCATCATAAACAGGAATATATTCAGATGCTAAT